AAAACGCATAATATTCATATTATCATTATCATCGTTAATGTTCTCAAGAAAATATTAATTTAGTCATAAATCGGAAGTGTGATTGAATTTAAAAATTATCCTGCAGCCAATATAAGTTTAATAGTATGAAAAATAACATACAGTTGGGACCAAATACACAACCCTGAAGGCTGTAACGTAATGCGCGTTAATTACACCTAATCAAAACGTCTGTTTGAAAAAAAACTGCGGTCTCCCGTGTTTTAATTTCGTTCCACGATAGTATTGTCCAGACATAACGGACTATGAACTATTCAAGTGGCAATGTGGTATGTACATCGACAAAACTGTATACCTATATAGAGTCTATACCTACCTAATTCCACGGCCGATGTCCCATGCATATTACACTGCAAATTATTGAATTATTGCACGTTTGGGCGTATCACGAATATTCACTAAATAATATTATATATAGATAACTACGTCTTTAAAATATATTTTTGCAATCTACGATACAACTTACTATGATCAATAATAATTGTTATTTGATTAATACGAATCATACGTAAAATCATTACGTGGTTTAATAGCACTGTATTCAGTGTTTAATATTGTTACCTAATTCGATTCTCTATCTATTACAGCTAAAAGCATTTGAACCGTCTTTCAGATTGTTAGATAAAATACATCGCAGATTAATTATTTGTTATGGMATGTTTCTATAGCGCATCTTATTCTGTGATATAATTACCTATTATAGCAGTTGGGTAGGTACCTACAGTCTACGATATTCTATTTAAAGATATCAATACAATATAAGTATATGATAATAATTAATAATAATATACTATCGAATTGAGCTCATTATTAATCCAAACTTGATAAAATCGCTTTGATTTAGTTTTATATTCTATAGAAGCATGTAGCAAGTTAATAATTTTTGACAGTTAAATAAATACGCAGTCCGGTAAATTATAGTATTAGTATACATGGCATACAACAGCAGTAAAAAGAATAACGAAATAGTTTGTTTATATCAAGCTGTCTTAATTGTTATTTTCTTTGTGTCTATTGATATTTGATACTTTAGTGAAATGTAAGTACACAATTACTATAAGTAGTAGTAATATATAATAGTAAGTATATATATATTAAGCATATAAAAGTAATGCCTCTACTGCGGGCATTTTCAGCGGTTACTTTTTAAATAATGTTAATGCATAACTAATGTAATACATTACTTTTCAGAGGTAAAGGTGTAATAGAATAGCTCTGTGTATTGTATATGTCCGCAAGTATATATGTATAGGTACCTATTAGAAGCTGCGGTATCTGCGGTCTGCCTAAACATCATTGATTACGATCATCATGAACGATATTATGAATAACAGTTGGAAAGATGTTAGAATTCTGTTATAGTTAAATCGCTTTGATAATTTAATATTATTCGTTATTTTAAACATAACTATACGCTCAGTTCAAACATTCACTTTGTAATACTCACACGCCGCGCACAAATGCGATAATATTGTATAAATAGGTACTTACAAGTTACAATACAATTAAACACACCCACATGCACGGACATTTATATGTATAAGTTATAACGTACATATTGTACAGTATAATATTTTGTGTAATTAAAAGTTACAATAAATAATTATTATTTTAGATACTTCATGTGTCACACAAATAATTATTATTATTATTGTTATTGTTTTTATAGGAAATTGGTCTTAAATACGTGTTCATATAGCGAACGAAGCTCAGACTAAGCTACTTTAAATCAATTAATATTCGATTATTTTTTATGTGCAGACAACTACTAAAAATTATAATCCGAGTGTAGGTACATCGTTTGTATACAAAACATTGTAGATGACTAACCTTTCGTTCTTGTAAATGTTTTTTTTAAATATTTTACGGGTATAACACTCAGTAGAATATATCAGATAAAATATATCTTACAAATATAACATAATATTCGATCGCATAAAGACGTTACAGTAAACGTGTATAGTACATAATATTATGATTATAAACTATAGCTGGTGCCGTGCCCCGTGAATATAATAATAATATGTAGCTCGATGGAGTGAGTGTAATAATATTATCCAGAATATTATTGAGAACAATATATTTTAATCAGCGCTGTCGATACAATACAGCAGGCGGCTCTGCATTACAACAGTTTGTTGTTGGACATTTTTACTAACATTTCGGTTAACCACGATTACAGTCCATCTTTGAATAAATTAGGGGTTTAGGACACACGGAATAAAATATAATGGCAGTAATGGCACGTTTCTAAAAATCCAAATACGTTTTGGTGACTATAAATTTAGCTAGCACTCTGCAGGGGCGTCCGTATAAATAATGTGCAGCGCGATTGCAAAATCTTGAGGATGTACGCGTACTAAAAAAAATCGATTAACGAAATCTGTACGAAATCTAGATCTATTCAACTTTCCAAATCTCAGTGGGTGCAACGGCGGCACCCCGTGAGCACCGTTGTGATGGATGATCGTATTTATTTTTATTTTATGAATATCTCGAGACGTAAGACGTAATCATTTCCAATATAATGTGTTATAACATAATAGCATAATGTATATATGTATATAATATATTTGATTAGTGTTCACTAGAAATATAGGTTTTGAAACCCATAAAATACGCCTAATGTTTAGGTGTGTAACGAGCCTACGAAACTTACAGCACCGCAAAAATTATGAAAGTCTCACGCTAAATTGAACGAGATCAGTAAAAAAATGTATAATTATGTTTATTAAAGCGTTCGCACTATATATTTATCTGCAATTATTCAAAATGTATTCTCTCAAATCATTATTTTTCTCTACACATTTATTATTTTTTTTAAGATTAAGTAGATTTTAAATATCATGGTAAAATTTGTAACAGTATTTTTGTTATTAAAATCCTATGTAATTATAACTTCTGGGGTTAACGGATTCAGTGGTAATTAACAATTATTTTCTTTGTTTTTCTTTTGATAAAATATCTTCACTAACTACAAGGGTAAAATGTTTTTGAATTTATTATTATAGCCTTAACCATGGCGAGTATTCCCATAGTTATTATTATACGCGCATTTTTTAATAGAATTATTTAAAAAATGTACATCGTTAATTCTCACGTCTCATAAACATTAACTTACAGCGTATTGTCTATTATTTCTGAATTTACATTAAATATTTTAATCAACATTTTAACAGGGATTTCAAACATTTAGATCAAACATTTTTGCTCAAAAATCTGTCATACTTAATCGTAGACCTTAGTATATAGTATAAATAATGTATATAGAGTATAGACAAATTTTATTTTTCATTTTTCAGTATTTTATTTTTACTTAGGTATACACACGCTAACGGTATAGCTTAAATGGCTTTTGAGTTCTTTACAGTTTTACTGTTTATGTAGTTAGTACTTTGTATGTGCTGCCTAAATATTAAACTTACGATATAATATATATATACATTTAATTGATCTAGAGMCAGGCAAGTGTGACCATTAGCTATTTGTAGGGGGGAAACAGTTGGTTTAGAACACTTATTGTATGAGCGGGAAGGATTTTGTTACTAAAAATCCCGAGTGCAGACTACCCATCCGGGAGCTAGCAACGCCGGTTGGTGCGTACACTCAGAGCGCGTAGACAAATACATGTAGACACCTCGCCACACCACGCCAATATATATTAGCACATACTTATGTGAATATGGGATATTTTGTAAAATCTGATGAAAACTCTATCGTTAAAAAAGCTAAACTATCTTATTATTATTTGTTATTTGTTAATAAGTTATAGGTGTGAGCACTGTAAACCCAAAATATTAAGTATAACATAATTACCTACATAACTATTTGCAATGTGCTTATGATAAAATGTCAAATGAAACCGTATGTTTATTTTATTTTAATGTTTAACTGTATCCAAAATGCTATAAGCCTATATAACGCAATGTAGAAGTAAGCATATTATATTTATACTCACTAAAAAAAAATGTTATCATACACTTCGACAAACTAGTGATTGTAATTTATTGTAATGAAAGTAGTTTGGAGCTATTAAATAATCTAAGAAATAACTATTTCACTAAACCGTTATTATTTATTCAAAACAGATTTTATATTACGTATAATTTAAATAAGTAATAGGTAAGTTATAATAGACAATACTGCAGAGAGTTGTTTTTATATATTTTATCGATTAAACTTTATTCTTACGATACTAATGAATCTTGCATTTTTTGTGTGATTTACAACATTATTGTCTTGATTTTTTTGTCCAAACTTGATTGATCCATTTATTTTATTATTAACTATTGAATACAAGTATACCCAATTAATCTAKATCTAATATCTATATATGGCTATATAAACAAACGGTTTCTGGAAAATTGCGTTAAAATTCACAGGTAACTTAAAAATTGGTTGGCTTTTGATCGTGGTTGAACGAGTTTCGTTTTTAGTCGACCACATACCGCGTTCAGTACTCAAAGATATATATATATATAAGAAGGATTTAGTGTTTATTATTCGTGTRCATACATTATTATAGGTATACAATACCCATGTATAATAATACTTGAATGACAACTGCATTTTTTGATCGACGAGACTGCTATAATCGTATTTATATATAATATATATATATGTTTTATTACACATACACACACACACACACACACACGAGTACATAAGTACACACCGTTTCTTACATATATGTCATCGACTCTCGACGAGGATTGATGATGAGGGGTCAAAATCGACGGGGAATCCAAATTTTTTTTAGAGTCTAGAATTTGTTTTTTTTACTGAAAATTTTCGTCTTCTGCCGATACGACGTCAGGTGCCTGGGCGGCCCACTTTTTTCCCGCGGGTGCTCCAAGGCGGCGGCGACGCACAACAACAACAATCATTACGAAACTGGTTTGCCCGGGTTACGGCGGCGGCCACGGCGGCATTCAAGAACATAATGCTGGCCGGTCGGAGCACATCACATGCGCTCGTCAGCAGCCGCACACGCACTACCATACTCTCGCGCGGCGGCCGTCCGTCCCGTTCCGTCTCGTCACGTCTCGAGCACGCTCCTCGAACTTGGCCGATCTACAAGAAACTTAAAAACATTTATTATCAGTTATCACACCTACGTATGTGTTTTTTAAAATGTCGTCGACGGATGTATCATAATATTATTATGTTGTAAACGCATCACTCTCAAGACTCGTCTCGAGGGGAAAATCGTATAAATTATATGGCATTTACTATACGATGTAATACGCGACTGTCGCTTATAATATAAGCTTTGCACATTCTGTCGTTCTATCTCGCCGTATTAATTTAATTTAAAGACATATTATATTGATACGATTCAATTTCAAACCGTTTGCTCGTTTTTGTGCGCTCGGATAATACGTGTTTTTGTGTGTGTGTGTCGTTTGCAGCCGTCGCATAAATGGTCAGGAAACCGAAAGACGTGAACATGGTAAGCGTTTATTTTGTGCTTGTATTATATAATATTACCTACGTTATGTTTTCAATATTTATAAACTCAAAGCGTGTAGTTTGGCTGAAAAGGAACTTTGGAACAAGCTAATCAAATAGGAATTTCTGCACATGTTTTCGAAATTATGTTATATAAATAGGTACCTTGTACATAAGTTTGAAAATTAATCGAAAAGTATTAGATGGAACAGTTTTTTTTTTAAAATACATATATCAAATAAACAAATAAAATCTTAAAAATCAAATATTTAATTAGTCTTTTATTTGTTCAATAAATAATAAACAAGCATGACGATTTGATTCAAGCAATATATCATTATAATACGTATATTTTCAATATTTAAATGCACCTTTAACCTGTTAATATATTTATATTTGCTATTTTTTTATTCTGTATTCTGTGTATAAATAATATTTACTAAGTTCCCAACAGTCTCAGCATATTATAATTGTCGATTTGTAACCGAGCCAAATATCGTAATACTTTTTACATGTTTTAATTTTTTGACATATTCTGTACACCAATGATGATATATCGATTTATTTTATATACAATATTACATTCCGGAAATACTTTATTTTGACTGAAAAAATATTTATGAAAAGGTTATACCACATAGTCTTTAAATCAATAATAAATAATCTATATAAATATACTTTTTTTTTTTCAATAAATTGAACTAATTTTCATATTTTAATAATACACTACCAAATAAAAGTATTAAATAATGTGGCTTCAACTGAATATTTGTTTCCTAATATMAAACATAATTATAAGCTATGTAGGTATTTTTCAAATATTTATCATCATCATCACTCATATTTACAGCTAGATTAAGTCGTAGTTATAAAACCTCGATTTTATTCAAATACCTCTTACGTTATTTTATTGTTTTAGATGATTGTTTGAAATGTAAATTATGGACTAAAAATTGTATATAACTATAATAAACGACAACTGTAGAAAAGGTTGGTACCACAAAAAATGTATCATAATATAAAAGATAGGTACATATTTAATTGTTACTCTAAGTAATTAAAAATGTATGCATACTAATAAATTGATTAAAAAAATAATTCATTGTTCTATTTATATAGTATTAAATTTTTTCTTGTGTTGCACGTGCATTATTTATTTCATAAATTATAACCTCTAGTCAACGTTTATAACAAAACCGCTATTTTATATGAAAATGCAAGAATGTGAATTTAATTGCTTTAGCCCAGTTTTTTTATTAAATGTCCATAGCGAATAGATGGGTACCAGATTTTCGAGATGAACTATGTCAGCACATTATATTATCCATATATTTTATTTTTTATGCTTAAACGAGTTGATATAATATGTAAAATGAACGGTTATGATGATATATGATTTATTACTTTTAATTCTTCCCGACGATTAAAGACAGAATATTATATTACGTGTTTATAATGTAATTGATTATTATTATTATCCATTCAGTGATCGGAGAACATAAAAAATAAAAAATATTGTGCTGCCTATGAGTAAATTATTTATTTTATGTTAGAAATTCATTAGAGTGTTTTTTATACATCCACACCGCAATATTATTTACATATTATACAAGAGAAAAAACTCGTACAAACAAAATGATAAATAATTTAATTGAGAGCTTCAAAACACATATGAAACTTAACTATAAGGTTTATATTGCAATGCTATGGAATATCGAGACAGTAAAATATTAATATCCTCTTATTAGGGGTGTGTAAAAAACGTATTGCATATTATCTCAAGGTTACAGCTACTAATGATCGGCCACATCTGTAATTACTATATCTGATATCCTGGAAAAAAAGAATTATCGAAAAACAGAGATGGAATATTTGCACATAATATATTATGTAGAAACACTATATTTAATTTTAGTTTATACCATATAGTTATTGTCTTGTCGGTTATACGTAGGTACTCTACACGTAGCTATTTAGCCATAATGTAGGTACGAATAAATATGTAGGTACCTATTATTATTATTGTTATTTTTATCACGTCTTCAACTAAGTAGTTATATTAGTATTAATAACTGTTTTAAAAATTACATAGCTAGCCTACAACAAAATAATATACAATGTGTAGTGTACCTATATACTTATAAAAATGATATTCATAATAAGATGTTCCTAAATTATTTGATACTTTTACAATCTTAATTTCATTTTTGTGATACGTACATAATATTGATAAAACGGGACTCGTTTACTTAAGTAAAAACAATTAATTTTATGCTGACTGAATGTTGTTATCCACATAAGTACCTATATTACGATATGTGGCGGTAGGCCATATAACAGAAATAATATGATAAATGAAATGAATTAGATTATTGAATAACTTTCGGGTCCTGTTCATAAATTATATACCTACCGATTTTACGCAATAATATTTTCTAAATCGACGAAGCAACAAGACAGGTTCAAGATAGGGTAAACTATAAACTTTCTCGATTAAACATTCAATGTTAAATAATTAAAAATGAATCATAATTCCGCATTGCTGAAATTTTACTTGAGAAATGTAGACTCTACCAGACGAGTATTTGAAAAAAATATTTGTGACAAGTTAAAAATAGAATACTTAAAATATTAAATCTACTTGGTTAAATTATTTCCATTGTATTTTTATATTGTAAATATTTTTACGTATTATTTTTCGGCGTAATATAAATTATTAAACATTCCCACGTGTTAGTAAACAGAACACAATGTATTCTAATAAAGAAGGTTAAGTCAATTTCATGTACTTAAAAAATAATTTCATGGTTCATGCATATTTCCGGAAGTTATTTTTAGTGTGCATTGGAGTCGAAACACTTTATTTGTTTAACAGTTCATTATCCCACTAATTAACATTTAATTGGAAAATTTACTCTCAACACTTTTACAGGACGTCAATATTCAATACTATACTTTACATTCTGTATTTCAGTATAACGTTACGTGGAATGGATTTTATAAAAAAAATAAAATGTTGGGTTTTGTTAAATTAATGTTATATTGGGATTTTATTGTACTGAAMAGTTCTAAGTGTATGGAGTGTAGAAAAGTTATTAAAAAAATTAATTTATTTCTGTATACGAAAACTAAACAAAGCGCATGTTATCTACATACTTTATCTATCTGTATAAGTTAATTTTAAAATTTTAAACATTTTTGAATATCTATCGTTTACCGTTTGTACATTGTTCAGTGTACTTACACTATTTTTAAGTAAACTTCATTTCAAAGAATGATGCAAGTTGTATGTTTGTATGACATTAATATAAAACAACTTTAGAAAAACTAAAAACATACTTATGTATGTAGCATAGACAATTTAATTCGTAACAAAGAATGATGGATCCATGTTCGTAGGTCATTCATGATTAATCTGGAAATCCAATAATATAAAATATAATATGTGTTGCATTTTCACAAATCTAATAACACGAAATTAATGTTTTCTTTCTGTGTCGGCCAAATTTAAAATTATACGTTTCGGACGTCTGTATGTATATAATATATGAGATGATATCATATGTTGATAATGCTGTAGAGGCAAAAAAATATAATTCATATACTACCTGCTGTCCTGCTATATTAGTAGTTTTATAAGAAATTTCAAACAGAAAGATATATAATTTGATTTTTAAGAAATGTTTTCATGCACTGAAAATTATTATACATTTTCTGTGCACGTGGTTATATTTGTGGTATATTATTTTATCTTCACTTAAGTATATTATTATAAACACAAATAATTAGGTTATACATATTATAATTATCAGTTAAATTTTTATCTTTTTATTTTTATTGTTCATTAAAACCATCTTTACAATCATGATTAATACATAGGTAATAGCCAACAGGTTACTGTTAGTATACTGTAAGTATATAAAGTATAAATAATAAGAAAAATGTGTTGATACAATTTACAACGACGGGCATAATTTATTAGTTTATTGAGTATACACTTGGACTTGGTTGAAAAAACCATTCTTTAAAGACATTCTGTTTTTTAGAGATTAATGTGATCAGTGAGTTCTTATTGGTACTTATTGAGCGTAGAATCTTCCATACTTGGGTATAGTTCATTAATTTTTTGGTTTTCATATAATTATATAGGTGCGTATGAGAACGAATATGTTATAMATATACATATACATTTTTTTTTTTAAATATAAAAAACTTATCATGACTTACCTGAAATAGGTATCACCTACAGATAGGTACTACCTTGTACTTCCTGAAGAAGATTCTTTTATTACTTAATGAATAACAATATTGAAAGAAGGTATAATATCAGCGGAGTATTAAACATTTATACAGTACTATTATATCATGGCGTACACATAATCAATTATATGTTTACACTGTTGCAGTCTTGAATTATGCACTTTCAGACTTTCTTCATATATTCTACACGAGTATCTTTTTGTTACGAGGTTATTTCTCTACTTTGTTGTCATCCGTTTATTTGTCAAACAACACATTTTTACTGAATACGTCCAAATTAATTGTCTGAAGACTACTATAACAGTTCTTCTCACCTAATCCATTTAAGTCTATATGTTGTCATTATAACATGGCGTGTACGTGTATGTTTATATAGACGTGTATATCAACTGGATAGTCACGAATCAGAAACACATAATATAAAATATTCAAATGAGGACGTTTCTATAACGTATATTATTTTCTTGGAAATTATAAACTGAGAAGATAGATACCCGCGTAATTTACTCCGGAAACCTGACGTAATCAAATATATTATAATAGGTTTATAATATTTTATACGATTCTCTGGCTCTCGTTCGTGTTTGTTGTAACTTATAGCGGTAGCGGCACACCAAAATCAATTCAGTCGGATAGTGCATGTAATCCGCAGCATAGGTAGTAGATACCTGTCGACCTGAAATTGTATGTTTAATCGTATTACATATAATTATTATATGCGCTGTCGGGTGGTGGTAACAT